AACGAATGTGTCCCGCATGGTATTATTTGACAGGGATGATGGCCCTGGCAGGTGCGCAACCGTTGTTGCAGAAGTTCGAAAAAATGGCTCGCAAAAGCCCGTTTGACAGAAATGTTTAAAAAGTGTTGGGTTTCCTACTAATCCGCAAGAGCGCGCGGGATGAAATGTTGACACTTTTTTGAAAGAAAAAAAAAATGGTTGTTTGATGTTTTTATGTTAAAATCGTTACGAACACTAAGGTTTTGGAAGGATTCCGTCTTGCGCGCGCGAATGTCCACTTTACCTTATTTTTTGCAAGGGGTTCTTGAAGTTTGGTTATATTAGAACAAGAAATGTCCACTTTGCCTTATTTTTTGCAAGGGAAAACCGATCGTAACAACACAACCGGATCTGGTACACATCGTTTTGCCTGAGACTTCCTCACGAAAATTATGAAAATGAGGCTGCGGCCTAGGCGCGGCGAGGGGGTCGTGCACCAGGGGTCCCAACAATAATTATTCTTTAGAAGTAATAATGTTCAACAACAACAACAACAACAACAACAACAACAACAACAACAACAACAATCATTTTAAGACTGTTCGCCCTTATCTGCTCGAGTGTGAATAACGCGAATTTCCCAAACCCTCGATACCCGCCCTTTTCGTCTTCGATCGAACCCCTTTTGGGGGGTATACCTTTCTTCCCTGCAGGCCGGGCCCCGGCAAGCGGCGGGGCGGCCGCGGACCGTCGGCCTGGCCAGCGGCAGCGCTGATCGGCGGGGCGGCCGCGGACCGTCGACCCGACCCCAAGAGGGACGGACAGGGGACCGACCACGACGACGACGACGACGACGACGACGACGACGACGACGACGACGACGACGACGACGGCGACGACGACGACGACGACGTCGAAGACGACGGCGACGACGGCGACGGCGACGACGACGACGAGCAAAAGCGCGAGCGAGAGAGAACGACAGCAGAGCCACGAAGGACACGAAGAAGGCCTCGAAGGGCGACAGCGGGGACACGAAGGGAATGCGTATGGGGCCACGAAGAGCGCGAACGAGCGGGGGCCACGAAGTGCAGATAATGCGGGGCCACAAAGGGCAACGATGGGGCCACTGAGGGTAGCACCTGGGCCACGTAGGACAATGAGGGGGCCACAAACGGCGACAGCGGGGTCACGAAGGGCATGCACATGGGGCCACAACGGGCGCGAACGAGCAGGGGCCACGAAGGGCATACGTATGTTGGGCCGCGGAGGGTGTGGACGGGGCCACTGAGGGCAGCAACGGGGACACGAAGGGCAGCGATGGGGGCCACGAAGGGCGACAGCGGGGCCACGAAGGGCATGCATATGGGACCACCACGGGCGCGAACGACCGGGGGATATGGGGCCACGAAATAAAGCGAAGGGGCCACGAAGGGCTGCAACGGGGCCACGACGGGCAGCGAGGGGGCCACGAAGCGCTGCAACGGGGCCACGAAGCGCTGCAACGGGGCCACGAAGGGCTGCAACGGGGCCACGAAGGGCAGCGAGGGGGCCACGAAGCGCTGCAACGGGGCCACGAAGGGCTGCAACGGGGCCACGAAGGGCAGCGAGGGGGCCACGAGGGGCTGCAACGGAGCCACAAAACAAAGCGAGGGGGCAACGAAGGGCTGCAACGGGGCCACGAAACAACGCGAGGGGGCCACGAAGGGCTGCAACGGGGCCACGAAGGGCAGCGAGATCCCGATTCCCAGGTAATATGTGAAGGAGTCCTTAGCGTGAGCGCGACTCCTGGGTGCCTGGGTGTCGGGAGCGCGGCGCTGGAGTAAATTGCAAGAAATTCCAACGCAAGGGCGCTATTCTTCAGTAGATTGCAAGCAAGTCTCCAGCGAGAGCGCGACTCCACAGCGCAGGAGGAGCGATTCCTGAATAAATCGTAAGGAAATCCCAAGCGAGAGCGCGATTCTTGAATAACATGCGAAGAAATCTCGGGCGGGAGCGGGGGTCTTGGCTAAATTGTGAGGAAGTCTCCGGCGGGAGCCGCTGTTGTTGTAACCCGGGGGCCAGGGGGCCAGTTTGAGCAGGAAGACTTTCCTTGACAAAAAACAAAGTACGAACCCCGGGGGGGCTCTTGAATTCAAAAAAACAATGCGCACCGGTGTGGGGGGATCAACAATAATTGTTCTTGAAGGATGACAGCTCTTCAACAACAACAACAACAACAACAACAACAACAACAACAACAACAACAACAACAACAACAACAACAACAACAACAACGACGACGACGACAACGACGACGACGACAACAACAACAACAACAAGAAGAAGAAGAAGAACAACAACAACAACAGCAACAACAACAACAACAACCACAACCACAACAACAACAACCACAACCACAACAACAACCACAACAACAATAACAAAAAAACGTCGACGGAAGCACGGCTCGCCCAGCGGCGCAGGCCGCCGGAAATACTTTACCGACAAATCCCAAACGTGCCAGCACACGCTGTAGTGCTCAATGGCACATTCGCCGTGAAGGCATCCGAATTCGCAGCCGCCTCTCTGTTGTAATCTCCGCTCGGTCACCCACCCATTCCGCTTTCGACCTCGTGCAGAACACTGCCGCTGCCACCCGGGGCGGCACGAGGCTCTGCAATCGCCCCATGACGCGCAGACTGCGTTCAGCGCGCGTCCTCGTGAACAATCCGACGTCCCATCTCCGCATTTTGCGGCGGAGGCGGAAGTGGTCCTGGGCGACAAGCGGGCCCGTCAACCCGTCGTCAATTGCTCTCTGGCACTGTCTCTGGACCGCGGCCCACGTTGAGCTCGTCAGAGGACGGGCCCGTTCCCCAACCAACTCGGTGACCAAACGACTTTGGACGAGGCCACGAGAAATGCACTGCGACTCCGCTGCTGTCAAGGTGTGGAAGAAAGACCCAGCAAACCAAGAGGACCACTGAGACAGTCTATCACACCACGAGCAATACGGCATCATGTGTTTGAGTTGGGCTGCCCGGCGGTTCATGCACAGCCCACCCTGGCGCATGGCCTCGAAATGGAGGACGCGCATGTTCGCGGCCACCGCGCGCCGTCGCAAGCACGGGAACTCGCAAGGCCTGCCGCAGCGGCGACGGAGCAGGTGACGATCCCGCACCGTGCACCACTTGAAAGGGCCCCGCACCATGGACCGTAGAGCGCACGCCTCTACTTGCTCCCGCTGCTCTGGGACCTCTTCCAGTTGAGCCACGAACTACAAAGCTGAGAGGACGTCTGTCGAGTGGGCCACCGTAGCGTGGTGCAGCCCTAGGAGGGACCCGCCCCCAATCCGCTGCACGGGCGGCGGCTCTTCGGAGATGACCTGCCCAAACGGACACTCCCCTTTTCTGGGCCAGGTGGAAGCCGAGGTACTTTGCAGAATCTGCAGCAAGCCCGCCCTGTCAGGGCAAAGACGCGCAACTTTGCACCGAAGATCGTCCACGCCTGTGCAAAACAGCGGGATGAGTGCGGTCTTGGCGACGTTGACGTGAAGCCCTGCGACCGCAGCAAGCTGCTCTGGTAGCGCCAACATCAAATCGGGAACTGTCACGCCCAAGTCGTCCGCAGATGCTCGACAAAGAGCGCGCGGGAGTCGACGGCACAACCGTCGCAAAAACATGTCCAGCACCACAGCGAAGATGAGTGGGCTCAGGGGGCATCCTCGTCGAATGCCGTACTGCATATTGAAGCCGGGATGTCTCCCACCTTCGACAACCAGCTCGCACCGGCCTTCTTCATAGAGCGCACGGGAAAAATGCAGTACCGCAGGCGGAATAGCCAGCCCAGTGAGAACGTCGAACCTGTAGCCGCAGCCGCCACTGCATATTGAGCCTGCGCGCGCCTATTCGCTCGTCAAAGCCAAGCTTGGGAGCCAAACAAGTAGGGGCAGCGTTCGCGCTGATGAACCCTCCTGCCGGATGATCCCACGACGCTGCTGGCCTCGTGAACATCCTCCTTTTCGAAGTAGTGTGGCTTATAAGCAAACAGGTGGAAAGCGGAATTCCTCGCTCACACAAGTCCAATGCGATTTGAAAATATGCGCGGACACGCGGGAAAGGCGGAGTCTTTTTTTTGCTATGGCTATGCGCGGAGCCCTGGGGCCATCTGGCAGGGAGGGGGTGTAACCGCGGGCGGCGCAACAGCCCCAGACACTCGGTTGATGATACTTTCAGTACGCGGTCTTCGAGAGTCCCAAGGCCTTTCCCACAGCCGTCTGTGCATGCCGAGTCGTCTTGCGACAGCCCCAAGGGCCCGCGGGGGCCTCCACAGGCCGAGAATGGCCAACAGCCTCCCGTGGGGCGTTGAACTGAGCAGTGCTTTACGGCGGCAGCCGTGTTGCCAGGGTGTCCCGCTGCAGGGGTCGTTCGGCCGTCCGCGCCAGGGCGCCCAGCTCCGCAGAAGAAAACGTTCTGGCACGCAAACAGCGATATGCTTGTCGGGCCCCGGAGGAAGGGGAGGACGCGAAGCGGGCGACGCGAGGAGGAGCCACGGGAGGACGAGAGAGGGAGGGGAAGAAGAGCCAGGGGGGAGCAGCTGGCACGACGAAGAAAGGCCAACCTCCTCCTCCTCCTCCTCCTCCTCCTCCTCCTCCTCCTCCTCCTCCTCCTTCTGATCCTCCTCCTCCTCCTCCTCTTCCTCCTCCTCCTCCTCCTTCTGATTATCCTCCTTCTGCTCCTCCTCCTCCTCATCCTCCTCCTCCTCCTCCTCCTCCTCCTCCTCCTCCTCCTCCTACTCCTCCTCCTCCTCCTCCTCGGAAATCTAGGCCTCCTCACTTCGCGCATCGCGCCATGGAAAGCGCAACGCGCGGTTGTCTTCGCGCCCTCGCGTCCCTGCACCGCCCTCCTTAGACAAGGGCAGCCGCTGTGACCCAGACCGCGACGCGCGAAGCGCGGTTATCCTCGCGCCCCCGCTGGTGACCTCGGCAATCATCCTCCACCTGCTCCTCCTCCTCCTCCTCCTCCCTCCACCACTACCCCCTGGGCCTGTGGCGGCAACCGGGGGCCCTGTGCCCGCCGCAGCGGCATCCTCCACGCGGGCGCCGGCGGCAGAGGCCGCCGCGCCACCTGGCCGGAGCCCCGCCGCGGCCCCCTCCCCCTCAGGAGGACGCTCAGCGTGCACCTGCACCAATCGTGGCCAGGCTCATGGGCCGGGAATCGGCCTGGTCACCGAGATCGCTGTATGTGTACAGGTGGTGCCCTCCGACCCTCTCTCTCTCTCTTTCTCTTTCTCTTTCTCTTTCTCTTTCTCTCTCTCTCTCTCTCTCTCTCTCTCTCTCTCTCTCTCTCTCTCTCTGGTCACCCCCAGCTTCAAGGTGCTGCAAGGAACGTCGCGGCGCCCTGCCGAACGTTGCAGCTCGTCCCGCCAGCGCTCCTCCAGGCGCGCGCGCAGTTCCTGAACAGTTCCTGGGCAGCGTTTCCTAGGCTCGCGCATCCCAGGCAGCTCCTGGGCAGCGTCTCCTCAGCTCGCGCGAAGCTCCCAGACCCCCTCCCGATCATCTGGACGTTGGGCGCTGACGGCTCTGGGGTGTGGATCAGGCGCAGCCGTGCCCCTCTCCTTACCTGGCGGCCTTCGCCGCGGAAGGGACGGCAGAGATAGCAACAAATGAAGGTAGCGCACGTGTCCTCGCCATCTCCGCCGCCGCCACTAGAAGCAGAACAAGCTGTGGATCGCCGCGCAGAGCTCCGCCGCTCGTATGTTTCTGCCATTGTCTTCTTCAATCATGTTCCTTATCATGCTCGTGGTCGTGCTCGTGCACGTCGATGGCCTCCTTTTCCTGCTCCTGTTTCTCCCCCCCATCCGTCTCTCGCATTCAAAATCCCCAAAGCTTGAAATGCCGAGATCTGAAATCCAACAAAATTACGGATTGGGGGGCGCTTCCTGTCAAACCCTGGTTCGGGGGTTTTCCTGGAGCCATATAAGCCGTCAGGCGTCTCCTCGAAGGCTTTGAGCATGCTTCCGCTGTGAATAGGGATACGGCCGAGGGGTCGATCTTATACGAGGGTCCGCAGGTAGAGGCAAAAGAGGAAGAGGTTGCTATTCCTTTTCCTGGGCGCTGCGCGGAGAGCAACGCACTGTGTGCGTGTTAATGCCAATACCTGAGCCGATACAGTTGCGGTATGCGAGTGATCTAATGGAGATATGAGCGGACTTCACACACATCCAGAAGCTTCGTGGGCGGCCCCTGGCGATCACTTCTGGGCACGTGGACTGCGTGTGGGCACCCGTCCTGACCGACACCGGACCGCTGACAGGGCGCGGCACGCACACCCAAAGTCAGGAAGGCCCGCGGAGCACCCTGCAGGGGCGTCCCGGGGAAGCACTGGGCCCCCCGGCCGCCCTGAACGTATATCCCGATCTGAATCTCTTGGGGTTATGGGGCTACGGGGCTATAGGGCTCTAGTGCGATAGGCCTATGGGGCTATACGGCTATAGGGCCATGGGGCTATGAGGCTATAAGGCTATAGGGCACCCGGGCACCCAGGCACCCGGGCACCTGAACACCTGGGCACCTGGGCACCCGGGCACCCAAGCACCCGGCCGCGGAAAGCGGCGGCACACCTCACCCAGGCACCCGGGCACCCGGGCACCCGGGCACCCCAGCACCTGGGCGTGCCGCCGAAATCGGCGGCGCACCTAACCTAACCATATGAATCCGCTAGGACCCCTACAGAGGCAAGCTCTGATTGGGTAAGGTTTTTGAATTTTCTGCCGCGGCCCTGGCGCTCGCGCAGATCGGTCGGGCAGGCACAGGGCCACTGCGCAGCAAAGCGGCGCATTGCAAATTGAAAGGGCGACAGCCGCGCACAGAGAGGAGAGGAAGGCGGCCCCCAAACCATGCAGGTCTTGCGGCGGCGCAGTCCCTCTACAGGCACGACGGCAGCGGATGGACCCAAGACAGCAAGTTCGGGCACTGGCGATGCGCGAGGCGCGCGGGAGAGGACGGGCGGCATCGCCCAACAGGGCACCCATGCGAGCGCTCACCCACAACGTCGGTCGCGCCCAAGGGTCGCGCCCGAGGGCCGCGCCCGGCAGCAGTTCCGAGTGGCTCGCCCCTGCTGGCGGCGAGCCGGCAGGCCAGCGCGTTCCGCCGGCCGCGTTCGAGGGTCGGCTTGTGAGCGCGGCATCACTGCAGGGACGACGACGAACCATGACCCGACCTTGGAGAGGGGGACGCGGTGGACAAGAGCAAGGCCAACGGGACAGGGGAGAGACCACCAGGCCTGCATCAGCAAGGTCTTCACAAAAGAGGCCACCTCAAAAGACCAGGCGAAGGGGACGAGGCGGTGGCGCGGGCCATGCGCCGGCGACCGCCTGGGGCCAGCCATAAAAAATCGGAGACCAGGCGTAGAACACACCAGCGTGTAGGGCGCTGGCGGTCGGTCACCCGCGCGCCAAAGGTCGACTGCAGCAAGCACGGCCGGGCCTTCGGAACCAAAGAAAAAAGCCCGAGCGCAAGCCCTGCTTGGGAGATCTGACTACGAAAAGACGTACAATCCTCGACAAAGAACGCGGTCGGGGCCGGCGCGACTCGGAAGTTCCACGATGACCAACATTGAAAAGTGGGCGCCCACAGGGTTCGCACGTTATGCGCTCTTGAGGTTAGCTTTGACGAGGGTTGTAGGAATGCACCGTGAAAGCGCACCCCCGAAGGCAAGAGTAGATGCTCAGCAGAGCGCCAGATGCGTCACCCACCCTCTGTCGCCTGGCGTCAAGCTCTCACAGAAGATTTCAGTCACGAGTCCCACCAGCCCTTTAGGGCGTAGGTGGTCTAGGGCGTTTGCCTTCCATCTGCCCCTCTTCCCCTTTCGGGGAAGGGCTACCCTCCCCCTACCCCCTCCCATGGACCTGGACGGGGCAGGTCGCGAGGTCTCCGAGAGTCCAAAACGGCATCGGCGAGGAAGCCAAAATCATTATTCGATTATTTGTGACGCAGATGTTGGCCAGATTTTGGCCTCTTGGGGGGTACCCCTAATTAAAGCTCCCTTTTTGTTTGATCGATGTCATCCAAGATGGCCCGAAGATGGCCTCCAACGCTCCCAAGGACGCTCAAAGAGAGCCCCAAGAGGTACCCAGGAGGCCCCAAGAGGCCCCCAAGAGGCCCCCAGGACGCCCCAAGAGGCTCCCAAGACACCCCCAATAGGCCCCAACAGGCCCGCCAGAGGCACCCAAGACGACCCCAGAGGCGTCGGCGAGAATGCCAAAATCATTGAATGGTTTGGCTACATTGGCTGACGATTCGGCTCAAGCCGGAACGGGAACTGTGCACACGCCCTGTGATCCGCGCACCTTTGCACCCCACACCTTGCACGCTCGCACCCCAGATCCATTCCCGCAGTGTCTGCCAGCCGCTCTCCGCTGAACCTCGCGAAGGAGTTGGAGGCGGTGATGTCCCAGACCCCTCCCCAGGGACCGAGGACTACCAGGGGGGCTGGTGCCCCAGTTCGCGACCTGCTGACAGGCAGCCCGTGGGAGAGAATGCAGCGGGGGTACAAGAAAGCGCGCGTCGGCCATGGCCCAGAGCTCACCCATCGCACCACTGCTGGGACAAGAGAGGGAGGCGAGGCGAGGGCGAGGCGAGGGCGCCAGCGTCGGGCACGCAGGTGTGCCCGTGCCCTCCTGGGCAGGGCGCGAGGAGGCCGTGGCCTCAGATCGTGTCCGAATAGACGGCGTGGACGCAGTTCCTCAAGAACCAGCGCACAGACAGGGCAAGGACCGACATGCGTGCGAGCCGGGACAAAGAGAGAGAGAGAGAGAGGAAGGAGAAGAGCGCGAGGAGAAGGAGGGCGACGTGCAGACGCCAGCGCGGGGGGGGAGGAGACGACCGAGGGGAGCGGCCCTGCGTTCCGGCGGCCTGACTCTGACGCTGCCGCCGCGTCCAGGCCAGGAGGAGGAGGAGGAGGAGAAGGAGGAGGAGGCGGAGGAGGAGGAGGACGAGGAGGAGGAGGAGGAGGAGGAGGAGATGGCAGGAATCGCGGCCCTCCTGGAGAAGCATCTGCCAGAGCAGCCGGCTCCCATGTGACCTCGCGTGTGGAGCGTCTCCGGCAGGATTCTGAGAAGCTGGACCTCAAGGTGACCACGATTGGCGAGACACTCTCGAGCCGTCTTTCGGACGTCGAAGCGAGCACGATGGCCACCGAGGTCCGCGTGGACAAGTTGGAGCACTTGCGTGAGGAATTGTTTTTGAAGAGTGCGCCCCCCTCGACCGGAGACATCGAGACCACGATCAGGGAGTGCGTCTCGGACCTCATGAAACAGTAACCTGCCCGGGGAGTCGGGCACGTAGGCACGCAGCAGCAGACAACCACAAACAAGCGCATGATCACAGCCGTGATCGGTAATTTGGATGGGATCCCGAACCTCTCTCAGGCGTCGAAGCGGCTAGAGGAGAAGCTGGTATCCTTGGCGGCATCTCCCCCCGTGAAGGTTTATGGGAAGGGCGCCTATTCTGGCATCGTCTTCGAGGAGCTCGGCACCCCCACGGATCGAGATCAGGCGGTTGAGCTTCTCCGGGGAGCTGGGCTCAGAAGCGGAGACAAACATATCTTGGCGAGTCAGGACCACCCTGCCACTGAGAGAGCAGCGCGGAGCTCTTGCTTTGGCATCAAGCGACTCCTGAAGACGGACTGGGCGGTGCAGTCGGACTCGATTGCACAGGACACGCGAGAGGACACAAGACCCTTCCCAGGGCCACACTGCCACAGGAATGCAGGAAGCATGGGTCGCGAGGCACAGGACACAAGGGCACCCTTGAGCTGGCAGGGTCGACCTGCCAGTCCGGGCCGACTGTGCCCTACACAATCTCGACCACAGACGAGGCGCCACGCGCAGTCACGGCGGGCGGAGAGCGCGCGCCGACGGCGAGCGCCCTGCCCGACGAGGCGCTCGACGAGTGGCAGGGGGAGCGGGCCACATGGGCTGCACTCCACGAGCACCCGACGATCAAAGACCTGGCGCCACGAGGAGCACGGGCATCGTCTCCCGGGCGACGGCGGGCACGAAGGGGCAGGCAAGAGGTGGCTCCAAGGGGAAGCCGCTCCAGCAGGAGACACCGCACGGGAGTACG